ATAATAATTGTGCCATTTATATTGACTTGCTCAATTTCCTTCCTGCTAGATGATCTGTTAATTAAATTGTTTAAATGCTTCCAAAGGGAGACATTATGACCTTTAGCTTTTTCTATAATACAAGTGTAATATAAAGCCTTAGCTTTACGCAATTCCATGACTACTTTATTTCTTAGGCCTTTATAGATCATATAATCCGTTTTACCTTTAGTGGTTAAGGCTGTTTTTCTTTTCATAAGTTTATGTATTTCACCGTTTAACCATGGTAGATTTTGCTTCCTTTGTTCAAACAAAGATCAAACAATAGTACAAACTCAAAACACGGACCGTGGCACATCCACAGTTACTGCAGGTATTCAGGAGAGCATGAGAACAGGAACATTCAGAGCGTTTTGCTTTGTATCTAAAAAACATTTCCCTAAGTTTTAATCAAGCATATTTTATGAGTGCATTTGCAAAAGTTTCAAATAAACAGATTCTCCCAGAGATTTCAAAACTGCTTTTCTCTTTCTTATAGGCTCCTCAATGGACTAAACGGGGTAAAGATAGAGAATCAAGGGAAACAGTCTATGCTTATCTTTTTCAATGTCTCAGAAGAAGACTATGGGAACTACACTTGTGTTGCTATGAACACCATGGGAATCACTAATGCCAGTATAATACTCTATGGTAAGAAAAATATGTTGCTGTTATGTTGTTCACTTCAGTGAATTAAAGAAAAAAGAAAAAAGTTTTGTTTTTGTCAGCGAACACTTCTTCCATATTAGCAGCTACACATAAAAAAGCCATTCTGAAAGTCACCCACTGTATGTTATTCATTGAATTACCTTTTATTTCCACCGATTGCCAGTTTCCATGGCAATTCCAGCATCAAACCGCATGAACATTTAAATTCTAACTAATGATAGTCAATACTAGAGCACTGATCTGAATAACCCTTATGATGAATCACATTTTGCATTATTCTCTTGCAGGTCCTGGTGCAATGCATGACGTGAACGGGGCTACTGCGCTATCACATTGCTTTGTATGCCTCCTGCTTACTGTAACCTCAGTCTACCTTCTCAAGTTCTAATGTGAAATGCTACCACCTTGGAGCTTCTCTCAGAATTGAAAACCAAGAACAGACTTTTAGTCCAGTAAGAAGAATGGAAACCCAAGATTGCCAGTGGTCCACCCTATTTTTTTTCTTTTTCTCTGTTGTTTTTCTTTCCTTTTTCTGGCTTTGTATCAGAGTCTGTTCTCTGTTGGCTTGTCAAGAGTGAGAAGCATCAACCTGCAGAAGCAAAGATTTTAAATAATGCACTAATTTGATGATGGTAGAACTTTTGAGTTCGTGTCTCCCCCAAGCTTTTTATATGTGAACATGGAAAAAGAAAAAAATACATGTAACTGTTGATAGTTGACTGTTTATTGCCCAATTCTGAAGTGTACATTCAGATTATTATTATTATTATTATCGTGTCATGTCCTGTTCAATATCTGTACAATAACATTAAGCTTTTTTAGGTAAATGATAAAAAGGGAAAAATGCAATGTGATTGTTGAATTTTACTGTATTTTTACAGTTGTATGCAAAACAGAATAACTGATACTTCATTATAAACAGTTCAGAACAATAAATTATACACCATGATTTCTCAGGCAAAGTCCTACACATAGTGCATCCAAATTTATATTTTCATTGTAGTGTGTGTAAAAATTGTACAAATGTGTACAGACAATACCTGCACTGTTGTTTATCAAAATGCATATGCTTATCAAATGGCATTTTTGAACTACCCAATAAGAGTGCCATAGCAGCTTCATGACATATTCATACTGACACACTGAAAGCTGATTTTCAGACTCACTTTAGTGAAGTATGATTTAGAAGTGAGAAATTGGTTGTTGTGCTGCTTTGTTCTCTGCAGACAGAAACAGAAAAACCCAGAGTTCAGTGTGCTGATGAGTGTCCAACCTGATTCACAAAGTGCTGTGGCTAATTTGAAAAGCTGCACTCGTTACAGGATATTAACCCACTGTCCACACTGGTTTTATGATCATTATTATTTAATTTTCTAAAGTTATGGTTAAAATACGGTGGCCCTGAGAGGCCAAACAGACTGCAACTTCAGAAAACACTTGCAAAAAGAAAAATGCTGCTAAAAAAGAAAAACACCTGCAAAATGAAAAACACTTGCAAAAAGAAAAATGCTGCAAAAAGAAAAACGCTGCAAAAAGAAAAATGCTGCAAAAGCACACACAACACAACGGAAATGTTTCTGGGGAGACAATAACCGGACAGACCAGTTGCATGAAACAAAACATGTATGTATGGCTGTATCCCAATTCAGGGGCTGTGTCCCAATTCAGGGTCTGCGTCCCAATTAAAGGGTCTGCGTCCCAATTAAAGGGTCTGCAGCCTTAACGATCCTCAAGGGCCGCGTACTTAAAGACCGCTGAGGCCAGAAGTGCGAGGCTTGTAGGCTCGTGAAATGGGACGGTCTAGCCTCCATCACACTGCCCAGGTTGCTACTAACAGTTGGAAATGTTTCATACAGCTTTGTTTGACAGAAATGAAGGAGAACATATTTTGTACATTTGTTTCTACATGAGCTTTGTGTGATTTGATAAGTTTCTGAGGCTGAGACCACAGGACTGTAAAACATGATTTTTGGGCTTCATTTCTGTACTGAACAGTCATTTAAGATTAGCTAGTAAATAACAATTAGCTAATGTTGTTCATGAGACTAAAGTCATCTCACTTTGGTAATGTAAATATAATATGGCCAATATTATATGAATCATTATTAGTTATTACAGCAGTGAACATGAACTCTGTGCCAAACACTGAGCTTCAGTAAAGATTCAAGTTGCATTTATTTATATTTCCTATCACCTTAAATCTTCACTTAAAGACAAGTATCTGTGACAGTGTATATATAGATGTATTATATATAAGAGACAAATATTGTTCTTTTAATATGTTGGCATTACTAAATTTGGCTCAATGCTTATATATGTGTGGAAAAAGCAAATGTACGAGCTGTGATAACTGTTTCTGATAAAATGAAGAGTAGACTGATATATGAAATATTCCTTTACTGGGTGAGAAAATCATACCATGTCATAACTGCTTTAAGTCATACAGAATAGATATGATCGCCTTAAACAGGCTGACTTCTGCTAAATGGGTCAAACTGGGCAGAAAGTATACAAACACATAACATCCTTATAGAATATGATGTAACACTATAGATCAACTTAGCTCAGAATATATAAAGCAAATAAACAATTACAGCAATATGATGCAACAAGGGGATCATCAGGGGTGCAAAGCCTCACAGATGATGTGCAGCAGTGGGTCCCTCAGTCTGTCCTCACTCTGGACACTTGCAGTTGTCACACATGGAAATCAAATGTGTGATAAGCTGCAGGATTCAAACACAACCATAACTTATAAATACATGTTCATACTTTTATTCCACAATCAGATAGAAAGAAAAAGAGAGAGAGTGCAGGACAGACAGACAAGTGACAGTCTCAGGTGTATACACTGCTACAAAACAGCACAAGAGAAGGAGGATTTAGTGTTTGTGTTATTACGAGTGCTAAACAAGAAGAGTTCCCAGATGGTACAGTGGACACATGTGTGACTCCTGTGATTAAATCATCTTTCTTTCAGCGTAAGGAGTGAACCGTCAGCTCATTCAAACACACGTTAACGTCCGTTTGGCTCGACACCACCGAACAGAGGCAGCAATATGACACAGCTAACATTAACAGTGCAGTGAATCCTGCATGTGCCGTGATATTCAGGACTGCAAACCGAGCAGCATCACTGACTTTCAGCTTGTTGTGTTTGTGGATATATGACTGACTTTAATTATCCACAAAATCATCAGATTCTCTGTAAGATTAAGGTCAACTATCGAACCGCGTATAAAGTAAAGGCTTTAAAACAAAGTAAACGCGCAAAGTACAAACTTCACTAATGTCACATAACTTTGCCGGCATGTGGCCAACAGTAATGTTTTGATGTTCTTCGTTATTAAACATTTGCACATAAATAAATGACATAATATTCAGAACTTACTTTTGAAAGTTTACTCTTTGGCCGCTCCGCTTCCACTTCTTTGAAGTGTCTCCCAGTCCCAGTGCACTTGTTAGCATGTTTTGGTTCGTACAACTGGTCCGTCCGGTTATTGTCTCCCCAGAAACATTTCCGTTGTGTTGTGTGCTTTTGCAGCGTTTTTCTTTTTGCAGTGTTTTTCTTTTTGCAGGTGTTTTTCTTTTTACAGCATTTTTCTTTTTGCAGCATTTTTCTTTTTGCAAGTGTTTTCTGAAGTTGCAGTCCGTTTGGCCTCTCAGGGCCACCGTATTAAAAGCTTCAGATTATATATAATAATTTAATAGTGAGATATTTAAAAGATGCAGGTAGCCATTATACCATTTTAGTCCCCCTTATTTTTTTTTAGTCGCAAGAATCAAATAAAAATGTCATTGAGACCTTTTGTTTTCTCACTACACCAACAAGAGGTTCAATCTGGCTTTCGATTCAAAATAATACTCTACAAAAAATATATGTATTTAAGAGCCATTTTAAATAATTAAACCGCCTTTTAAATGCTTCTGCAATGTTTGTCACTTTTAGCTATGCATAATCTAATCACGTTCAGAAAAACAAGATAGTGAGTGTGAGAAAACATTGGCAGCATTCATTGTAGTGCTGCTAGTGCTAGCAAATATTGTATTACATGTCTTTACTGACAAGGTAATAACTTTTTATATCAGACCTGGCTGGCTCTTGCACGGCTCTTGGGCTGCTTATTCAGTCCATTGGTTGTCTCTGACCTCCCCACATGAGGCTAATGCAAAATTAGCATTCAAACATAAAGAAGGATACATCATGCTTTTGTGAATTTTGTGGGAAATCACAAAACTGGACTCTACTGCACTATCCAGCTTGGTAAAAATTGTTTTTGCTTTTGCAGCTTTGCTAGAAAGGTTTCCAGTGTCCATCCCTGCTCTGCATCGGTACAGCTTTGCTGTAAATCCACTCTACATAGAATGTAGCGTTTTAACAAAACATGGACAGAAAGTATTTATTTGAATTCAGGAATACAACAACCTGACTGATGCAACACAGGAATGGACACTGCTGTGAAAGCCTCAAGTTTCAGAGGGATGGAGCAGTCAAGGCCAGGTTTGTCATCTTCCACAAAATCGCAAAATACAGAAAATCATTCTCTGATGGGGAGTTTATCATAGTGTTTGCTGATATGCCCTGAGAAAAATGAAGCATTTGAGAATGTGCCCGTCTCCAAGTGAATCCCAAAAGATAGATTAACCACATTATAGGAAAATCAGGATCTTCATTTGAAAAACAAAGCAGATATTGGACAAGACTCTGGCCAACAACTGTGATGTCCACAAGACAACCAAGTTCCTCTTCTTTATACACAGAATAACAAAACTGTGTCAGATTGCAGAGCAGCTGGCAGCAATGCTCCTGCTGAAAACTGATGGCTGTCCAAATCTGACAGGAAGAAATGACTTTTGACAACGGACTGACATGAACCCAGAACTGAAACTGGTATTTGTGCACTGTATCATTCGCCAAGAGGTGTTGTGCGAGTCAATGCTAAAAAAATTAACCATGTTGTTGATGTAACTAAAATAGTTAACTTCATCAGGGTGAAAAGCAATGAATCACAGACTTCAAGTCAGTATCACTGCTGTTTTTTTATTCTGCTCACAAAAATGAGAACTTTCCACACATACAAAGATATTCTCACATAATGCTGGTTTTCTTTTGCATGTGAACAAACATTATTTGTGATAAAGTTTAACAAAACTAGACATGGATAATCTGTCTGCTATCCTTTGCATTTCCATCTCATTTCAAAGCTGACACCAGTGCACCCGTTAAAGCCAATAATAAACTAAATTTGTCTCATAGAACAAGAAAAAAGACCTAAATAACTGCAAAAAACAACAACAAACAAATTAGCAATAGAACCTTGTTTAAAAAAATGCTCATTTTGTTCCAAATTGCTTTTGATAATGTTGAATAGTTTTACATTTGGGTTCAGTTCATTGGTGCGCAGCCTACCACAGCAGTCATAAATTCTCATGTGGCCGGTTGGGAAAATGAATTGTCCTCCCCTGTTCTATATCAAAGTTACATACATACAGTGTTATTTAGATATTTACATTACACTGTTTCTCATATTTATTGTGAAATATTGAAAAGCTGGATAAAATTCTTTTTAAAAATTGAAAGAACTTTTTTGTGCTTATCAGCCCACTGAACATGCAACACAAAAAGTCAGCTTGAATGAATGGTCTGTGTAGCTGCTATGAAGCTTTCTTCAGGTGTTGTGAATGTGTGCTTTTAACCTGGTTTGCCCTGAGATTAATGGCAGATGCTGATCTCAAGACTGCAGGAGTAATGATGTGATCTGTGGTTGGTGTATAAAAAGAGTTTTCTGTCAATTTCTGACAGAAAGTATACTTAGAGCACAAGTGACTGCTAATGTGACTTTTTTTTTAATGATCAAGTTCACTCCTGTGATAACCTATGAGTAACAAATGTGTTGATGACAAAGGGAAGAGATTCTGTATGTGGGAATGCTCTTTTTTTGTCACATGTTCTGTGCTTGTGATGATG